CACATCCCAGTGCCCCCCTCCATACATCCCCACATCCCCCCACCCTCACTCCCTGACCGCTGAGTGGGGGCACGGGGTCAGCACGACCCCCCCCTCCCCTCCCTCCACTCCCGGGGTGCTCAGGGTGTGAGGGGGGACCCCGCAGCCGCATCCCCACCTCTGCCCTGCTGCGATCTTCCCCCAGCAGTGTCTTTTGGCTGAGCCCAGCGGGGCGAACAGATGGGTACGGGGGGGTGGTGCGCAGGCATCGAGCCCTGCGGTGGCACCGTGCTCCCCTTGGCACAACGCCGTGCCCCCTCCGCCCCCCCCGGGCCTGGCAACCCCTTATCTCCCATCCCCAGCCCGGCGTGAGGCAGATGGCACCAATCTGCTGGGGACGCCGTGCCAGGGCGCCCGGCCGAGCTGCCCGTGCCAGGGGGGGCCGTGCCAGATGGATGGGGCATCACCGCCAGCACGCCTGCAAATATTTATGGGGGGAGTGGTGGGAGGGGGATTGGAGAGATGGATGGGGAACGCAGCTTCCAGGCCCCGCATCTCACTGAGTGCCCGTGGGCAGAGGGGTGGATGAACCCCTACCCCACCCAGCGCTGTCCTGGCAGCCACGGATTTGGGGCTTGGGGGGCTTGGAGATGGGCAGAGCCATGAGGGCAATGGGGCAGGACCCCCTCCCCACTGACCCCCAGCGCTGCGCAGTGATATCAGCCATCAGAGAATCCCTGCAGGGTGGGTTCCTGGTGTGTGTTGGACACAGGGGTGGGATGGAGGAGCGTGTGGGGTGTGTGGGGGGGTGTGCTGGACCCCAGGAGCTCCGTCCCTTGCAAGGCCACCACCCCGAGGTGTCCCAGCAGGCAGGGGCCGCGCTCTGCCCCCCCTCCCCAGCGCTGTTGGCACACGGAGCTCTGCAGATCGATGCCGACCTTGCGAGGTCAGGGCTTCCCCGGCGATGCCCGCATCTCCTCACATCCCCTTGTCCCCATGCATTCCGGAGCTTCCCCAGCTCAGCGTCACTCCTGCCACGAGCTGCTCCGCGCTCAGCACCCGGCACCCAACAGCGCATCCCCGAGGCGCAGGGTGGGCAGGGGGCTTCTCCCCACCGTGAATAAAAGATGAGCGCTGCGTCTCGCCAGCCCCCGCCACCCCCCCGCCACCCGCCGTCCCCCCACAGCGCCTGGTGCTCTGCCCTCCCCAGGGCTGCCGTTGCCATCCTGGCTGCATTCCCGGCTCCGTGCCGCGTTGGCGGGGACAGCTGGGGTGGCAGATGCCAATGGCTGCAGGCACGGGGAGGGGGCGCACGCCGCTGAGCCCCCCGTGCCCGGCTGGCATCGACAGCTGGGGCCGCGTCCCCGACAGCCCCATAGGGATGTTCCCATAGTGCCTGTGGGGAGTAATGCCTGGGGGGGGAGGGGGTGAATGGTGGGGTGTTGTGGGGGCACTGGGGTGGCGAGGGGCTGCGCCGTGCTATGGGGCTGTGCTGTGGGGTTGTGCCATGCTGTAGGGTTGTGCTTGTAGGGTTGTGCCATGCTGTAGGGTTGTGCCGTGCTGTGGGGTTGTGCCATGCAGTGGAGCCGTGCTGTAGGGTTGTGCTGTGCAGTGGGGCCCTGCCTTAGGGTTCAGGCATAGCTCCATGCTTGGGGCTGTGCTGTAGGGTTGTGCCATACTGTGGAGCTGTGCTATAGGGTCATGCTGTGCTGTGGAGCGCTGTCTTAGGGTTGTGCCATGCTGTGGGGCAGTGCTATGGGGTTGTGCCATGCTGTGGGGCAGTGCTATGGGGTTGTGCCATGCTGTGGGGCCGTGCTGTAGGGCTGTGTTTTGGGGTTGTGCCGTGCCATAGGGCTGTGTGCAGTCACTGCCGTCCTCCTTCCTTCCCTCCTTTGATTTCATTCTTTCTTCTCCTTCTTTTTGCTTTTGTTTCTTCTTTCCCTGCTTCTCTTTCCTTCATTCCTTTACTTTACATTTTTTCTTTTATTCCTTTTTTTTCTTTCTCTGTTTTTCTCTTTTCCTTTTCACTTTCATTTCCTTTTTCTTTCTTTCTTTCTTTATCTTTTCCTCTTTTTCTTTTTTTTCCTTTCCTTTTCGTTTTTCTTTTCCATTCCTTTTTCTTCCTTTCCCTTTTTCCTTTACTTTTCTTTCTTTTTTTCATTCCCTTTTTCTTTCTTTTCCTTTCTCTTTTTTTCTTTCTCTTTTTCTTTCTTTTTTTCTTTTCCTTTTCGTTTTTCTTTTTCTTTTTCTTTCTTT